AAATGAATAACGTATTTCACATCCTCAGCGAGTAATGAGGAAGTTTGTTCTTCATTTTCGTCTCCCTAATGGGCTCATAACACATACTTTTGAAATTCTCAGCAAAAATTCCAAAAAAAAAAAAAACGGGTTTATTTCTGGTCTTTTTTTTTTTTTTTTTTTACAGTTAGATACCCAGCGCGATGAACATTAACACATCCACTAGAAGTTTGGAATTGTTTGTTTGTAATTAAGGACAAAGCTACACAATAGGCTATCTGTGCTCTGCCCACCACGGGTATCGAAACCCGAATTCTAGCGTTGTAAGTCCGCAGACATACTGCTGTGCCACTGGGGGGCCATCCACTAGAGAAATGTTCTCAAGCATCAATCACAAAGTATTTTCTCAACAATATATATATACATTTTAATTAAAGGTCGGGAAACTTGAATAATTTTGTGAATCCTGAGATGTATTCACATTGAATATACAGTAAATAAAAAGCCGAAGAGGAATGTTTATGATAACTTAAGTGGCTATGGTGACATTGTTTCTCCAAATGCCATGGTTACAGTGAATGATGTAATCCTTTGCTAGAAATACTGGACATTCTCAAAGACTGATATGTTAACAAAAAAGTCCCTCCGACTGAGTCATTCTTTATACAGGCGTGTTTATCCGACCTCCAAAAATTCCCCAGACTGTGAATACGTGTTCATCTTTGCACTGTCGCAAGCAACTCTGTCATCCATAGCTTTCTGTCGGCTGTGCAATCTAAACATGGTTATTAATAAACAGCTACAAGACTGATATCACTGGCTTCAAGAGAACTAGTAAATTAATCAACTATTCTTGCATCATATTTATGACTCAAACATAAAGGCCTGGCATGGCCAGGTGGTTAGGGCGCTTGACTCGCAATCTGAGAGACGCGGGTTCGAATCCCCGTCACACCAAACTTGCTCGCCCTTTCAACTATGAAGGCAATATGATGTGACGGTCAATCCTACTAATCGTTGGTAAAATAGTAGGCCAAGAGTTGGCGGTGGGTAGTGATGACTAGCTGCCGTCCCTCTAGTCTTACACTGCTAAATTAGGGACGACTAGCGCAAATAGCCCTCGTGTAGTTTTGCGCGAAATTCAAAACAAACCACTCAAATAAAAATTAATAAATATTTTTGTTAAGTTCTTCTATGTTGATCTCGTCCTTTTTATTTTCTTGGTCTGTTTGTTTGCCGCTCTTTTGTAATGCCTTTCTATAACACAGACTGGCCACTTCAACTTTTTTGGTAGCGGTAAAGCGGATCACAAAATGGCTCCTAGTTTGTTCTTTTCAAGTACAAACTTTTAGTTCGGCCCGGCATGGCCAGGTGGTTACGGCACTCGACTCGCAATCTGCGGGTCGCGGGTTCGAATCCCCGTCACACCAAACATGCTCGCCCTTTCAGCCGTGGGGGCGTTATAATGTGACGGTCAATCCCACTATTCGTTGGTAAAAGAGTAGCCCAAGAGTTGGCGGTGGGTGGTGATGACTAGCTCCCTTCTCTCTAGTCTTACACTGCTAAATTAGGGACGGCTAGCGCAGATAGCCCCCGTGTAGCTTTGCGCGAAATTCAAAAACAAACAAACAACTTTTAGTTCATAGCTCCGTCATCTCTTGACCGATTTGAGATATAATTACAGTTTGGGATTCAGGAGGTCAAATCCTTTCTATTTACGTATTTGGCCGTGCCCAAAGTCTCATAGATTATATTACTCTCATTCTGCCTAAAAGAATTTCAATTTGAGGGTAGGCTGGTAGAGATCCTAAAATCGAATCGGGTATACGCGCGCCCCACGCTTGGTATTGTTGGCGCACAAAAATACAGCTAATAAAAAGGAAGAAAAGGTTTACTAGATTAATTTACTCTAATCGTGCCTAATAGAATTCCAAGTGCAGCGGCTATTGAGGATTCCCTCTTGTTTTCCCATCATCCCAATCTCCTTAATGATTTTCCAATAGACATCTCTCTAAACCTGGTATCAAATTCTTCGACCTGTATATATATATATATAT